CCTTCTTCCCCTTTAGGGGAAGAAGGGGAGCACTTCTTCATCCCCTTTAGGGGAACTAAAGAAGACGGAGTCCCCTAAAGGGGAAGAAGAAGAGACTTTGGTTCATCCCCTTTAGGGGAACTAAAGAAGACGAAGAAGAAGAAGAACACTAAAGTTCCCCTATATATATATATCCATGAGATTAACGTTATTACGCTAAACTACGTTCTAGCTTTATATAGCCCTAGACGGGCTACCGTTGGATAATTGTTTATCGTTAAAGCGACTACCCTTGCACAAAGCTGGTAGTTTCCTAAAAACCTAGGGACCCTACTAAACGTTATGGGCTCCAAGTGATGGGCTCCGCCCTTTCCTTCCTTGTCTTCCCCTTTAGTTCCCCTTTAGGGGATGACGTCGTAGTACCCTTCGGGAAAGTTTGCTGTAAAAAATGATTTTTCATTATAAGATTTTATTTGGTTTTGATTTAAGAATATATTGGTTGATTTTTTTCGAAAAATAATCTATCTGTAGAAAAAATACTCGCTTTTTTTACGGGGTTCCGCTGTATATATATATATATATATATATATTTTTTTTTATTATTTACGTACATGTATGTTTTATGTGTGTGTACAGACTTCCGCGACATACAAGGCACACGACCCTCCGCAAAGGGGGCTCTCCGTGGGCCCCCCCTAGCAGCAGCAGCCACCCACTCCTCGCTCCCAAACGAGCCCACTGCCCACTCCCAAGCCCAATCCGCATACACCTCCTCATCACCGTGGACCCACAGCACCCGCGTACATCATTGCCCCGGGTACACCACCGCCTGCACCTGTGTCTCCTACATATATACCAGCCCCTTTTCTCCCCTCCCTCCTACCCTCCCACCCAAGCCCAAGGCAGTTGACCCCGTTATTTCTTGCCATCCAGTTCCCACCCAAGTACTCCCTCCCCCGCCCCCCTCCTCGCCCCCGCGGGTGCGCGCCGCAGAGTACCCGGCGAGAGCTGGCGGAGGAGGTGGTCAACAGTCGGCAGCAGTGGCTGGAGGAGGCAAGGAAGGCGAGGGCGCTGGAAAAGGAACTGGAGGGTGTGCGGGCAGCGCTCTCGTCCATGGGCCTGGGAGCGGGGCCGCAGGGAAGTGGACAACTTGGTGGTGGCGGCGGCGGCGGC